GGGCGAGCATATTTGGTGTGACGGGGATTCGAACCCGCGACCCTCAGATTGCAAGTCGAGGGCCCTAACCACCTGGCCATGCCGGGCCGGCTGGTAAGTAAATAATCACGGTACTTCTGGAGTTCAGCAATCATGAATGCCATTTTTTCAGGAAACTTTATAGATATACAGAGTTTTCCAAAAGTATCACTACTGAGGAATATATTTATTGATATCAATCTGTCTTCAGAGAATTTCTGCCGCTGTCCCATACTTTTAACTACTGATCAGAATGAGAACAGCCAGTCAGCAGCACCTTACTCTTATAACGCACTTACAGTTTAAATTACGGTAAATATTTTATGGTATCTCACGGCTCCGAAATACGGAGCTCTAACACCAGACAATCCCTCCTCCCCACCCCCCTGTAAAAGAGAAGGGAATAGGCTAATTCATAAATCTCTTAGCCACATTCAATACAATTGTAAAAAAGACGCATGAATAACGCATCAGGAACCTATTACTTTTTGGCCACCGTATATAAGACTATTATACAAATACAATAAGACATAATATTTGGAAATTTACTGACTTCTGTACAGTGATTGCTGTCCATCGGAAAAGCGTTAAACTTCAGCTGTCGCTGTGATTTTTCGATAACTCTCACAATATATATATATTTCTTTCTTTCGACGGTTTTCACACATTGCTAAGCTGTTAAAACCTGGTCATATTATCATTATTATGTCACATTAATTATTTTGACGATGTTATGTCAAGAATAGTTATCAGTATCAAGATTCACCTTTTCTTGAAGGATGTTGCGCGTCTCTTGGTTCACTTCCGACCAAGCTTGGCTGAGAATATCAGTCATCTGAAATCAAACAAAATCTCAAACTTAAAACGGACGTCTCGAAAATCAGCGTTGGTATCGTACGTTTCGCAACGAAATAGATAAAAGACAATATCATGAGAATGAACAAGATCAAAGTCTCGCTGAGAGCGACCTAGATCAAAACAATCTCACTGAGAACGAAGTATGCCAAAGGTAATGTCACTGACAACGAACAAGAACTGAGACAATTTAACTGAGAAAGATGTAGGTAAAATACGATCTCAATGAGAACGAACTTATTAACGAATATCTTACTGAGAACGAAAACGATCAAAGACAATTCCACAAGCAACGAACTAGATCAAAGCCTCTCTCACTCAGAATAAATGAGAACAAAGACAATCTTACTGACAACAAACTTGAACCAAAAAATATCGCTGAGAATGATCTAGAAGAAAAAAAAAAATCTCCCCGAGACCGAACTAGGTCAAAAGCAATCTCACTCAAAATGAATTAGATCAAAGACGATGTCACTGGGAACGAATTAGGTCAAAGACTCACTGACATCGAACTACGTCAAAGACAATCACATTGAGAATGAACTCCATCAAAATCCATCTCATTGAGGACAAATTCTAACAAAAACAATCTCATTAACAACGAACTAGATCAAAGACGATGTCACTGGGAACGAATTAGGTCAAAGACTCACTGACATCGAACTACGTCAAAGACAATCACATTGAGAATGAACTCCATCAAAATCCATCTCATTGAGGACAAATTCTAACAAAAACAATCTCATTAACAA